TAAGTAGTCCACCATTGGCAGTGGTTTACCTACTTCACGCCACTGGCGAGTATTGTATTTTGTTGATGTTATGAAGGTTACCATTTCATTTCCAACCTCCATTTTGGTCATTCTTCATTCAATAACCTTTCCAAGGTTACAACAGAAATGTAAAGGGATATTGTGTTTATGCTTGGGCTCTCTTATATCTTAGGCTGATGGGATAAACAAAAATGAATGAAAATAAAAGAAAAGTGTATTTTAACACATAAATAAACAACTTTTATTCATTTACTGTCTGAGAGCAGCAAGGATTTGTTTGGATCGAAACCATGAATTTCACATGTATGTCAGCTTGTCACGATGTTTAATTGAAAAAGTATCGTTCTCCACTTATAGATAACGGAAGTAATTTAGTTGTTTTTTGAGTTATCGACCTTTATAGGCCAAGTAAATTAGCACAGCTTCCATTCCCAAGCTGCTCCATTTTATAGATGTTATATTACAAGTTAAATTGTCTGTATTCCAAAATTCAAAAAAATCTGAAAAAGTGAACCACTTCCAGACACATTTTGGACAACCTCGCATACAAAACTACCTGTTTGGGATTTTAGTTTTATTATTATATTGGATGTGGCAGGTGTCATATAGTTTAGTCTGTGCTGATCAAAAACAAAATGGTGGAGCCCATCAGAAATCACTACCAGCCTGTGTATCCGGTAAAAATGATACATAATTTACTCACTCTGATATTAAGTAATCTGTTTATTTCCAGTAAGTGACAATATCCTATTTTTCTGAAAATGAGCCAGTACTCCCTTAGCAACAATGTTATGACAATGCATCAGTGAAAGTGTTCAAAAATAAATGTTTTTTTTTTGTATTTTATTTTGTATTTAGTCTCTCATTTTCAAAAAAAGTAGGCGCTGGAAACTTTTGCATGACCTCATAATTATACTTTCAGTTTTTGCTTTTACCGAAAATGTAAAATGTTGCCGAGGAAAGAAAACTAAATATGCGCTACTTACTTCTGTAATCCTTCATTAATAGTGCAGCCTTGCAGACTCCATGATTTTGATTGTAGTCAGGTAGAATAGGTTGACAGATAATGATGTAAACAATAATGAACAAAAATAATGAGACACTCCTCATATCTTCAGACAGTCTTCTCACAGCTTCAGACAGACGAAAAGATAATGGTCCCCATAGTAAAGTGTAGAGTTTGGTAATAGCAACAGACAGTACTCAACTGTCATAAAAGTTGAGTCTGACTAAGCCAATCTGCTGGGAAAAATGGTAGGTGGTTTATATAACAGCCTAGGAGATTCCATTCTGTTACCCGGGCAAGTCTATTCTGTAAGTTCTGATTGGCTGATGATTCCAGTGTGGATATTGTGCTCAATAAATAGCACAATATCCACCCTGTGACTTTATTCAAGTTTGTCAGCCAACTGGATGCTAATTGGAAACCTTGTGAAGGTGAGTCTCACACTCTTGATTGTTTAGTAAAGTATATATTTTATTGAGTCAGACTGATATTATTTCTAATTATTTTATCATATCCACTTTAAACATTCAGGCATTCTTTCTTTCTGCATTTTCAGGTGAAGGTGCATTTCTCAAGATCTGCAGTTTCATGAGTAAAAATGGATGTTCACACCAAAGAAAATGGATATTCCTGTGAAGATTGTAATGCGTCATTTCCCCATCACTCCCAGTTCATTGAACACTTAATAAAACATAGCACCAACAAAAACACCCAAAGTGACGTGTCTGTTATTTGCAGAGACAGTTTCAAAACACAAGAAAAGAAACCACAGATATGTGAAGTGTGCGGGAAAGCTTTCACTAGTAACACTGATTTTGAATTACACATTGCAACTCATCCCAATGATATGTTGTTTCATTGTGATGAGAGTGCAAAAGACTTTCTTCAAGTGCCTACTATAAAAACCCGTGTGAAAATATATTCAAGAGAAAAACTGTTTAAATGTGAAGTGTGTGGAAAGGGCTATTCACAGAACAAGAACTTGAAAACACATATGAGAGTTCATAGTGGAGAAAAACTCTCTTACTGTGAGAAATGTGGGAAATCTTTCCCTTATCAGTCATCTTTTAGAAATCACATGAAGACACATACCAGAGAAACACTTTTTGAATGTCAGTTGTGTGAAGAAAGCTTTGGTACATACCCTCAGCTTAAGAGACACATAAGAACACACACTGAGGAACCATCATTCCAGTGTGTTGAATGTGGAAAAGCATTCTCTCGTAAGTATATCTTAGAGTGTCACATGAGAGTCCACACAGGAGAGAAACCATTTCATTGTGAACAATGTGGCAGAAACTTTGCCAATAAGTGTGTCTTGAAAGATCATATGAGAAGACATAAAGGTGAAAAGCCTTTTCACTGTGATGTGTGTGGAAAAGAATTTTGTAAAAGCTCCGAGCTAAAATCCCACCTGGGAACACATACCGCAGAAAGGACTTTCATATGTCAAGTGTGTGGCAAAGCTTTTGGTACAAATGCTTCATTAAGAGCACATAATAGGACACATAGTAAGGAGACATCCTTTCAGTGTAAAGTGTGCAGCAAAACATTTCCTTATAAGTCATTGTTAGACATTCATATGAAAACACACACAAGAGAAAAAACATATCACTGTGAAGCTTGTGGGAAATCTTTTTCTCAAAACTGTAGCTTGAAGCGCCATAAAAAGACCTGTTCTGGGCGCAATTCTTAATTACTGTTGTTTTAGAGGGACTGTTTTCTGGGAGCAGGTGTTATTTTTAATTTCTGCTCTCTGATCATCCAGTGATGCATTTCCTCCACTTAATCTCTGATAATAATTTATTGGTGTTGCTAATTTTTCACAACAAAATGTTAATTCTCACTGTAGAGAAGCCAATTTAGATGTAAAATCCTGTGATGTTTTTATTTTGAATATCATTTTTATAATCAGTTGATCATTAACGTTTTGTTTTTTTAAACATTTGAGGAGTGTTCATTTGATTTGTTGTGAACCATTTGCAGTGGTTTCTTTCTGACCAGTTATTCTAGAATGCACCCTGACTAGGTACACAACTGGAATTGCCTACCTTCTGGTCGAGTGGCACTTGATCCCAAAAGTTTTTATTTATTTACTCTGTTTCCCTTTTCCCTATGCATAGATTTACTGTTGGTTGTCATATAAATGGCCAGCATTTAAAGCCCAGATAAAATCATATAGAGTTCACTTTGTGGATGTTCTAAACTAGCCATGGCCTATTGTGTCACAGAAACATGAAAATTGGCACATTGATTAATCTGTCTTTACATAGCTATATTTATATTTAGCTGTCCCCCCACGAGGGGTTGCATGTGGCACAAGGCCAAGTTTTACGTGGTCACCCGAGCCCGTAGGCCCGGCCAAAAATATAGCCTTCGACCCGCCTAAGCGGGTTCGAGAGCTGTCATAACCTCCCCGAACGAAACCTTGCCCTTCGGCAAAGCTTCGTCCTGGTTCCTCTCTGCTAATGCAGAGAGTTTGACGGACGGCGGTTGCTGTAAGTTTGATACAGCTATCTGTCTTTACATAGCTTCCACCAAGAGTTAGATACTTCTCCCACTGTTTGATGCACCTTTCTTGTCAAGCTCCAGAGATTAAGACTCTGGACAAGACTGCATCCTTTAAACAGTATACCATTATGCTGGATTGATTTGATTTTTTATAGCTTATCAACCTTTTGCAGGTTGTTTTAAAGTCAGAACATATTTTTAGATTGTAAGAATTTGGGGGAGAAAATAATTATTTATTGATACAAGTCTTACTAATTAACCCATAGTTGGTGGGAGAAGTAGATTCATAACTTTCCCAAGGCTGTTTGCATGTAAGTGAATAAAAAGAACCTGACTGGAATTAAAACTCGGCTCTCCGATTTCAATTTTCGAGCTAATACTACCCACGCATTCAAGCTTACAGCACCTGACCAGACTGGATGTTGCTTAACTTCACTGATCGTATGAGAACCAATGTGATATAATAGAATATGCATTCACCTGTGTTCCTCCTCACTGGAATATGATTGGCTGGTGTCCGTCATAAATACAGACGGACGTGTGGGTATGACAGAGTTTAAGTCTGTGACGATGCCCATTGGACTACGTCATTGGCTATTCTATTGGTCCACACCTATTACCTGCGACTACGACGAGTACCAGTTGATTACTGCTACCGTGTACTACTTGGTTAGAGTAGCCAAAACCACTTAGCTACTTCGATCAAATATATCTTTCTGGGACATATCACAATGTTTCAATGTAATATGGCCATAAGTCATCATCATGCTAGAAGTGCCTGCTTTTCATGCATAACTTTATGAGGGTGGGGAGAGGTGGAAACCAGATATTACCAGATTGGGAGAATAGAGAAGATAGGAAAGGATTTGGAGAATATTTTGATAGTTGTGTACTAGTGCACTGTCTTGCAAGATACAGATGCCTTTGCTAAGAATACGGTGCCAATGGATCTTGCTGGTTTGCTGAAATTTAAACAGAAATTCCAGTTATTGTGTTATCATTGGAAATCAATAAGTACCCCACCATTTTCAGTTCCAGTAGATATGAGCATTACCTTGCAAGCAGAGGGTGAGATTCATGCTTTTTCTATATAATAGGTAATTCCATTGTTTTGACTGTGTGTTAGCCTCCAAGTAACAAACCTGTTTTATCCTGTTCTCTTTCATTAGGTGCTATGCATAAAGCACACTTCAGCGATCATCTCTTTTTGATCCATGACTGACTTGGCTGAAAAATTCCCACAGTAGGCTGCTGTTACTTTCTGCAGTAGACTGGTTGCCAAACAAGGCTGTTGCAGCCAGTTTGGCCTGGTATTTAATCTGTAGTTGAATGGGAGAAGAGCTGGATTCATACCTTTCCCAATAGTATTTACGCATGTCATTGTAATGACCTCCGGAATTCAAACTCTGCTCTCGAATTTTGCATTCCAAGCTGTTATCTATCACACCCCAACACATCCAAGCTTACAACATCTGATATTCCAAAGTGGTTACCAATCTAGTTACTAACCAGGCTCAACATTGCTTAACTTCAGTGATTGTACGAGAACCAGTGTTTCAGCATGATATGGCCATAATGCATACATCTTGTGTAATCTGGCAAAACCATACTTTTGGTTTTTCTGACATATGGCCAGCACCGGATTTAGGACAAATGGGGCTCTTTGCTAGTAAAGTTACGAGACCCCTTACTTGGGCCTTCAAGGAGGTAGGCCCAGCATGTCTACACAGGCATGGAAGGAAGATGCCCCCCCCTCCGTGGCTGATGGTAAATTCGGCACTGCATATGACGAAAGGTTCATGGAAGCAGTTGACTCTGGCTTCTTTTGGAGAAGATGCAAGTAAATGAGAATCCCACCATGCTGACACTTTCTACATATGCAAGGGTTCACTAATGATTATTTCTGCAAATCACACTAATCGTGACCATATGCACACGTTCCTGAATAGTGATTCAACAATATACCTTACATTTGCCTTTGCATAAGATGCCCCCCCCATTTAACAAGGATATTTTTTGGAAAAAAAAATCTAGTATGTTTCATCATATATTTATTGAAATATATTTTAAAGTGGTTTTCTAGGAGAAAATGTATTTGTGCATGCAAATACAACACTGTAACAGTAGACAGGAATAAAGTGTGCAATCATATATTAATCAGTAAAGTACAATAAATTTGCACACTATTTACATTATTTGGACTATTGTCCTCATTTTTGTTGCCATATTAATTACAATGTTTCAGCCATTGTATGCTCTGGCCTTCTTTAGGTGGTTGGAATGTCGAACTGAACCCTTTATTTCGCTCACTGGGGTAGACTTCTAGTTCCACATGCCATGTTTAATGGATGTCAGTTATCAGTTATCACCTGTTAATTTCCCTCTCCAAGTTCTTCACCGCCTTATCCAGGTATTGAACTCGCACTCTTTTGGTCCTGTCACTGAATCTAACTAATGCCTTTATCCATGTGCCATGTGTCTTCGAGATAAAAGCGTTAGTTAGATCCAGTGACAGGACCCAAAGAGTGTGAGTTCAATACCCGTTTAAAGCAGTGGAGAAATTTCAGAGGGTAATTAGCTGGAGATAACTGATAACTGACATCCATTAAAAAACATGGCATGTGGAACAAGAACAGTCCACCCCAGTGAGCGAAATAAAGGATTCACAGTTCAACATTCCAACCACCTGAAGAGGGCCGGAGCCTACAACGGCAGAAACGTTGTGATAAATATGGTGACAAAGATTAGGACAATAGTCCGAATAATGTAAATAGTGTACATAATACCTCATCTCAGAAATATAGACAGATACAGTAAATTTGATTAAATTCTTATGGATAGTTACAGTCCATGCAAACAAAGAAATCAATAAAGTACAATAATTTGATTAAATTGTTATCGATAATTACAGTACATGCAAACAAAGAAATCAATAAAGTACAATAATTTGATTAAATTCTTATAGATAATTACAGTACATACAAAGAAATCAATAAAGTACAATTATTTGATTAAATTCTTATAGATAATTACAGTACATGCAAACAAAGAAATCAATAAAGTACGATAATTTGATTAAATTGTTATCGATAATTACAGTACATGCAAAGAAAGAAATCAATAAAGTACAATAATTTGATTAAATTGTTATCGATAATTAGAGTACATGCAAACAAAGAAATCAATAAAGTACAATAATTTGATTAAATTCTCATAGATAATTACAGTACATGCAAACAAAGAAATCAATAAAGTACAATAATTTGATTAAATTCTTATAGATAATTACAGTACATACAAACAAAGAAATCAATAAAGTACAATAATTTGATTAAATTCTTATAGATAATTACAGTACATGCAAACAAAGAAATCAAAAATGTACAATAATTTGATTAAATACTTATAGATAATTACAGTACATGCAAACAAAGAAATCAATAAAGTACGATAATTTGATTAAATTCTTATAGATAATTACAGTACATGCAAACAAAGAAATCAATAAAGTATAATAAATGTGATAAATTCTTATAGAGTGTTACATTACATGCAGACAAAGCAAAATATTTCACTGAATATTACCAGTAGTATACAACAGGGGAAAAAACTAAATGCATTCTGACAGAAACTGGTATTTCAGCAAACAGTACAGACTACCACGCCTATTTTATTATTCATAACACAAATTACTGTAATAATTTGGATTGTTTCCAGTATCTTGTTACTCGTAACAATTTTTATGCCAAGCTGACTCAGGCTCATCCAACACCCAAGCTTACCAATCCAGCACTTGGTCATCTCCAATCCATAATATGGTTGTACTAGGCACAGGGGAATTTTTTGGTTCATTTAGAAATAAAAACAATTTGACTTATGTGAAGGCAAATACAGTACTTGTTGGGTACTGTTGTTATTGATGGCTGATTAGGAGTGAGTGGCCAAGAATAGAGGCTGTCACCACTGAAATTGTTTTAATTTTGATCATTTCACCCCAAGCAAGGCAATAAAGCCACTAACACTCAAAGGGTTACTCAATGTGAAAGAATACAAGAAAAGACAACACTATTAAGGAGAGAGAACAGTAAAATTAAACAGAAAATAATGATTGATATTGCGTTTAAATTTTTGAAGATCAAAGTTGACTGAAAAGTAAGAAGCCAGAAGAGAGTTCCACAAACAAGAACTGCAAGAAAAGAAACTGTTAGCATAGAACTTATGGTTGCATCCAATCCAACAACAAGGCTGAAGGCTGCCTTCATTTTCTCCAAAATTGTTGGTGCTTTGTTCCTTTCAAAAACAGGAACAGGATTACATATCTTTACTCCACTGGTTTCATGGTCACAAGTTAGTAGATATTTATACTAGAAACAAAAAAAAACATTATCTGTCTGGAATTTATCATTATTTCCATTGGTTACAGTCAGACTAATATCCTCATCTTTGTTACCACAATGTCCTTTTTTAATCATTTCACCCCAAGCAAGGCAATAAAGCCACTAAAACACCTGGGAGAGTAAATGAAAAGGCTTTAGTGAGGAGAAAGCACAATAAAAAAAAAAAAAACATGATTCAGGAAGATGAAAGATTGAAGTTGCTGTTGCATTTAAATTTTTGAGGTTTGTAGATGGCAGGGAATCAAAAAAGAGAGTTCCACAGGTAAGGTGTGCAGGAAAAGAAACTATTGACATAGAACTTACGTTTACATCTAGCTTTTTCAACAGTAACAAGAGGAGACCTAATTGCCAATCTAGCAGCTTGCTTAAATTCCTGCAGTCAAGGTACCAAGAAAGAGAGCTCATTAGAACAACTGCCATGAAAATAATAGAAAAGACAGAGGGGGGGCATGTCATAGCACTTGGAAAGTGACTGAAGTCAAGATGTGTGGGCAGAGCCACTAACAGTACGGGCCTTTCTTTGGATTTTGTCAAGTATCTTGAGATATATAGCCAGCCCATCAAACCAGATATGGTAACACTATTCAATGTGTGGACAATGTTTTGGCCGTTATACTCTACAGCCTTCTCCAGTCGTCTGCCAATTTAGGTAAGCTTCAGGGAATTTCTCGGATGATGAATTACCATTATTTTCATTATTCACAGTCTGATCTTCGTTAACACGATGTTTCAGCCATGATGCTCTCCGGCCTTCTTCAGGTTTCTGTTCATCTGGAAGAACTTCAAGAAATTTCTGGTATGAGGAATTATCATTATTTACAGTTAGACTAATATCCTCATCTTTGTTATTTCATTATTTCAGAAAGACATCAGTGGTATATTTTTGGAGTCTTATATTCAATGTCACATTGTTTTGACATTTGGTTATCATAGCTTGTTTGTACAGTCCAACCTCTTTAATCTGGCACTCTTAGGATCCAGGTACAGTCAGACGGCAGAATATGCCAGATGAAAGAAGTCCCCCTTAAAAAATCAGCCATGTTTAACATTCGTGCCTGCAAAAAGGACACCACTATTATTTTAACTAGCTTCCCTCTTCGGTAATATTGTTTTAAAAAGTTTTCCTTGATTATACAATCCTTGCTTCAACTACAATTCTACAAGGCTGTACCAACTTGTACCAACCGACTTTCATTTGGCAACTCCTTCACAATACAATAACAAACACTGCATTGTATTGTCCTGCCTGTTAGAATGGCCCAACAAAATTTTGTCATCTAGTGAACTTTGCTGACACTTTCCACTCTCTATCAATAATTTCCCACTATCTCATGAACATTTTTTCTATGAGTTTAATTCTTTAGATGTTGAAAAGAATATTTTGAGCAAACCCCTCTACACCCTTCATTTTGCAATAATTATTGAAAATATATAATTTCGGCAAACTTGGACTTTTGTACCCACCAAAAAACAGAGTGTCAAATGGATGGTTTTTCTATTGACACTGCCATTATTTTAACTATCTTCACTCTTCAGCAGTGTTTATTGTTTTAAAAAGCAATGATTAGAATTTAAATAATACATAAACATTTGAAAGTGAATACCTACATTTTCATAGATCTTGAGGAATTGGCCCACTATTTATTATATTGTTTATTGGAATGGTTGGCAAAACATCAGTTAATTGTTAATTCATACAAACTTTATAAAATGGTAAATAATAAGGATTTACTTATAGCTGGTTCACATATTTTAATAATTTAGCAAATGTTTATAAATTTGTGAATAAAAAATTGTTTTCATATTTGTTTGTAAGTTATAAATATGGCATTGCATTAGTTTTAATTGTATTAGTTTTTAGAATGTTGTAAATATAAAATGATTTTTATAAATAAACAATCTAATAGTGTTTAATATTTTTGTTGTAAATTCTCAAGAGCAAAAAAATGTATAAAGTCACTTTCATATGTTTAGGTTTTATTACAATTCTAACCATCACTTTTTAAAACATTAAACATTGCCAAAGAGTGACAGTAGTTAAAAATGAAAAAAACGTCTTTTTGACACCCCCATTTTATTGTGGGCAGGGAGATCCATGGTTTGCCACAATTTCTTTCTTTCACACTGAGTCAGTGTCTTTTTTTTTTTATTTTTCCCCTAAAGAAGTATAACTTATA